AGTGAATGTCCAGTAAAGCTCAAGAAGACACGTGAGAATGTTCAGTTTCTTTAAAAAAACTACGTGCAAACGAGATGTTTAATTTTCTGTCCGATAGTTTGTATCTTAGTTGGTTTACGCTAATACACGACTTCGCGTCAAAGCGTTTTCCTTTCTTAACCGAAAAAGCTAAGGAGGAGTAGTCATATCACAAGAAGCGAGATCCCGTTCTAAGGGTAATCGTTCTACTAGGCGGTCTGGGGATAAAGTTGTCGTTTCCTTTGCAATAGGGTTGTGATAGCAGTAAGCTGTTTCCACCAGGTGACCACCATGGCCAAATTCATGGAAGAAGCGATGCCACCTTCCTCTGAGGAAGAACGGGTTAGAAAAGGCCGGTCCCGAAACCGCACACCCTGATCGCCCGACTCTTGGGCTTGACCGCCGGCGCATTATTCAATACGATCGAAATGATTTTAAAACCAAAGAGTCTTGTGCTGCTCAAAAGGAATCTGATGCACACAGCCGCATCACGTGCGAGGCAGTAATGCCCTACTCTCCGAGCTCTCGAGTTAGGCAAAACTCCTCCAGCCGAGCAGGTAAAAATAGTGAGACATCGGCTCCAGGCAGGGTCCTCAAAGAATACCCCACTATCCGTTGCTCCTCAGGTCAGACTCTTGAGTTAGATGCTAGGGGCAGGGTTACCGGACAAACCTCTACATCCTTCCACTGCCTCATGCCTCGGACTTTTGAGTCAAAGGCTCAAGGTTAGCCCCCCAACCAAATTCTCTTCCTTGGCCTGGGTAACGGGGTGGCACTATTTGCCCGCACAGTTCTGTGTTCACCGGTGTCCCTCCCCAACTCATTCCCACCACATATTCAAACCTTTCTGGGTCATTCCATCGTCAGTTTTCTGACCGATGGGCCTTAAGAACCCCGTTGTCTATTAACACTAAACAAAATAACGCCTTTCTAAATCTACGAGATCCTTTCTACATAGGAGCTTTTTACGTCCGTGCTTTATGTCAAATTGGCAAATAAGCAAGGATCGCTGAAACATTACACTGCATGTATGCCGTATCTCCGAAACACGCATACATGATCCAAGCGTGGTTGTGCATCTCAGAACGCCAAGGACGTACCCAGGTCTTTCACATTTCTCCCTCAGTGTGATTAGTGATCCGGAAGTGAGTACACGTGGAACATATGGTGTGGAAGTTGCACTCTGCTTCAGAGCAGAACACATTTTGCTGGACTGGTTCCAAGTGAACGGTCATCTTTGCGCCATTCGGTTATCTTTAACTCAATCAAGTTCAACGCCTGTCAGCATAAAAAGCGGTCCCTGTTTGATTGTCAACTTATGCCTCAACGAACTGTAGCTCTGACGGTGGGAAGGATATATTTTATCGAGAATTATCCAAGCCCGTTCGTCAAGCAAGGAGCATAGGCATCGTGATGCTTGCGCGTGATATTAATGCACAACTCTGTCGTCTGAGTTCCCATGAAATCACATACGGGCGGTCGATTTGGAGTTGATGCTCGCCGCACATGCAAGTTCTCCAACTGTGCACTGATCACAAACCGTTTTTAGCTAGTACGAACTCTCAGCGTAAATCCTCACACTGCGTAACCTGGTGGCCACCCAAATCAAATCAAGCAAGAACCCAGTTAAATCACGTGGCCATCAGCTACAATTCAAGACTGTCTTTTTTCTGGAGAACATAACTAGAATGACGTCACAAGGCAACGAGTAAGATGGTGAGCACTAATTCCTCAGACAGCAAACAATGAAGAATCCAGGGAAAGACCGAGAGCTCTGGTGGACATCGAAAGCTTGGGAGATGAAGAAGGCCTTTGCTATGAGAAACAGCCATGCCTTATACCAACTGATACGATCGATCGGCCCTAGCAGAATAGCGGTCATTGAAATGATATGTGAAACGCAAGCCGTCCATGGGAACGATGGGCCAAACACTTCGAAGAACAGTTTAACTGGCCTTTTACATTCTGAAACGTGAGAATGCAATAGAACCGGACGATCTGTATCCAGTCCTCTTCGAAGAAAGCGGGGAATCCCTGGTGGCACATCTGACGAAGCTTCTTGGTGCCATATGAAACGAAGAGAAAGTGCTTGCAGAATGGTGCATGTCGATAGTTATTCCTATCTTCGGAAAGGGTGCGCAGACTCTATGATATATATATATATATAAATTCTTGACCCTCCTTAAGGCACTGAATGCTAACGCCCGCGGACGTGAGGTTTATGGGAAACTCTCACCGAAGTTCACCACATAAAGTGATGTCACAATAAGGCTGTCCTCTTTTGTTTCTGTCTTCTTCAATGATACGATTATGGAGGTCTCAATACCAGCTCCCAATACCTGCGTAGTCGAAGTTCTCCCGAGGCATCCACTCACAGATATCGAGTACGCAGACAACATCGTTCTTCTTGGACCTGATACCATAGTTATGCAAAAATGTTAATCTAAAGAACTCTGCCTCATGATTTAACGTGCGCCTCATACCTGAAAAGTGTAAATTGCTGCTTCTTTACTGATGGGCTCAAATCCTAGCCTCATGCTTTTGAATGAGCCGTTTGAAGTAGTAGACCAATTTGTCTACCTGTGCAGCTGTATCGGTCCCGGTGTTCTCACGAAAGATTAAATTTTCATCTGGATTGGGAAGGCCAGAGCAGCTTTTGTGAAATTGCGTTACTTGTGGCGCAGGCATGGCATTAGCTTATGCGTCATATTTCGAGTTTACAATGCTGCGGTGCGATCCATATTGCTATACGGGTCAGAAACGCGGCTACTTTGCATCGAGGAAGTCGAAATTATTTCAGTGTTTGAAATTCGATGTCTTCGGAGGA